TATGGTTCCACCATTCTCTGTTTCCATGGTTCTCTGGTTCCCTTGATCTCTAGCTGTAAGGTTCCATGGTTCTCTAGTTCCGTGGTTCTGTCATTCTACAGTTTTACTATTCTCTTGTTACCTAGTTCCATTGGTCTGGAATTCTACAGTTCTGTAGTTACCCTGGTTCTCTATGGGATGGTTATCTAGTTCTTTAGTTCCAAATTTTCTAGTGCCCTGAACACCCAGTTCTATGGTTCCACCATTCTCTGGTTCTCTTGTTCTCTAGTTCTAATGTTCCACGGTTCTCTAGTTCCGTCGTTCTGTAGTTCTGCAGTTCTCTTGTTCCCATATTCCCTGTGTCTTAAATTCTACAGTTTTCTGGTTCCCCTGGTTTTCTAGTCGTTTTGTTTGGTTCTCTAGTTCCTTAGTTTGGTTTTCTAGATGTTTGCTTCCATGGTTTAGTTCTCTAGTTCTTTTATTCCATGATTTGCCTCTCTAGTTATACAGTTCTCTAATTCCCTGCTTTTGTAGTTCCAAAATTCTCTAATGCCATAAATCCCTAGGTTCCACCATTCTCTGGTTCCCTGGTTCTCCGGTTCTCTGGTTTCATTGTTAAGGTTCCATGGTTTTCTAGTGCCGTGGTTCAGTACTTCTACTGTTCTCTTGTTCCCTGGTTCCCTAGGTCTGTAATTCTACTGTTCTCTTGTTCCCTGGTTCCCTAGGTATGTAATTCTACTGTTCTCTAGTTCCCCATGTTCTCTATTGGATGGTAGAACAAGGGAACCAGAGAATGGTTGAACCATAGAACTGGGGGTTCAGGGCACTAGACAACGTTGGAACTAAAGAACTAGAGAACCATCCAACAGAGAACAAGGGTAACTGGAGAACTGTAGAATTACAGACCCAGGGAACCATGGAACAAGAGAACAGTAGAACTGGAGAACTACAGAACCACGGAACTAGAGAACCATGGAACCTTATAACTAGAGATCGAGGGAACAAGAGAACCAGAAAACCAGGGAAACAGAGAATGGTGGAACCATAGAACTGGGGATTCAGGGCACTAGAGAACTTTGGAACTACAGAAGCAGGGAATTAGAGAAATGTAGAACTAGAGAACCAAACCATGGAACCAAAGAACTAAAGAACCAGGGAACTAGAAAACTGCAGAAGTACACAACCAGGGAACCAGTGAACAAGGACTACAGAACCACCGAAAAAGAGAACCATGGAACCTTAGAACTAGAGAATCAGGGAACCAGAGAACCACTGAACAAGAAAATGGTGGAACCATAATTATAACTAGGGATTCAGGGAACTAGAGAACTTTGAAGCAGGGAATTTGAGAACTGTAGAACTAGAGAGCCAAACCATGGAACCAAAGAACGAGGGAGAAAGCACATTTGTTCAACCAATACTTTCACTCAGTTTTCACTAATAGCTCCTTCTTATTACCCCCGACTAGTGATTTAATACGACCTCGTTCTTTTTTTTATGTGAGGTCACCATCAATGAACTTGATGTACTTAAAGCTCTCAGATCCCTTGACGTGTCTAAAGCAATGGGCTGCGATGGCATTAGTTCTAGGCTCTTAAAGCACTGTGCCATGGCACTTTATCAGCCTCTTTACCATCTCTTTACTTTGAGTCTGTCACATCATTATCTTCCCCAGGAATGGCGTACACACTTGATAAAACCAATCTTCAAATCTGGTGACAAGAGTCTTATAACAAACTACCGACCTATTTTCCTCCTATGTATTGTCTCCAAAGTCTTGGAGAAACTTGTTTATGATAACATGGTTGATTTCGTAACTAAATCCACATATGTTTATCAGTTTGGTTTTCTTAGGGGTCGTTCTACTCTACAGCAGTTACTCCTTTTTTTCAATACTATTTTCAGCTCTGTGTCACAAACTGATGTTGTATATTTGGATTTCAGGAAAGCTTTTGATTCGGTTGCTCATAATGAACTGTTATCTAAACTTTGGAATTTCGGTATATGTGACAGTCTTTGGCTGTGGATGAGGGCTTACCTGACAAATCGATGCCAATATGTCTCAGTGGGTCACTCTGTCTCAAGTGTTCTACCTGTAGTTTCTGGTGTTCCTCAAGGGAGTATCCTTGGCCCGCTTTTGTTTCTTATTTTTGTTAATGATCTCCCTGCCGCTATCTCATCTTCCCTGGCCTTGCTTTTTGCTGATGATGCTAAATGTATAATGCCTATTTCATTCGTGTCTGACTGTTCACTTCTCCAAGATGATTTATCTAGAGTTGTGAAGTGGTCCACCACCTGGAATCTACTTCCGAATGAGGACAAATGTTCTATAGTTCACTTCTAGTCGGTCTCCCCTAATTTTTAGCCTTACCATTAACTATCTTGTCAATGGTAAGGAGATTCTATCCAAATCTACTCAAAGGGATGTTGGTATTGTTGTATCATCTAATTACCAATGGTCTAATCACTACCAAGTAATAATATCTAGAGCCTATAAAAAAACTAGGGATGTTACGAAGGACCTTCTCAGGCTCTATTGCAGCATCTGCCAAGCGTTCCCTCTATTTATCTCTTGTACGTTCACAACTTTTATACTGTTCTCCACTCTGGCATCCTCACCTGTTGGCTGACATCAATCGTCTTGAGTCTGTTCAGAGAAGAGCCACCAAGTTTATTGTCAATGACTCATCCATGGACTATAAAGATCGACTGATTCATTTACATCTCCTACCGTTGATGATGGAGTTTGAAATCTCCGATATCCTCTTCTTGGTCAAATCAATGAAATGTCCGTCTAACCATTTCAATATCTACTCTTTTATTGAAGTCTGCAATCATTCTACTCGCTCATCATCATATTATAAACTCAGACATTCTCTCTCAAAGAACAACACACTGAGCAATTTTTATTTCAACCGCATCCCTAGACTGTGGAACTCTATTCCTTCCATAGATATCAATCTCCCTCTCCCTGCCATCAAATCTATCTTACGTAATCATTTCTGGAATCGTTTTATTACCAACTTCACACCAGATAAAATATGTACTTATCATTACTTATGCCCATGTCGTAATTGCTCCAAATTACCTGTCCATATGCATTTTCATATATAAATCATTATCATCACTTTGTTTATTGTGTGTGTGTATTGTCTTTTGGCTGCTGGTCTAGGGCCTTCAGTCCATCAACGCAGACTCTCATATCATCTCCCTTCATCATCCTTTCCTCACTTCTTCTGTGTTGTAAAGTTGAATAATAATAATAATAATAATAACTACAGACCCAGGGAACCAGAGAAGCAAGGAACCAAAGAACTAGAGAACTGCAGAAGTACAGAACAAGGGAACTAGAGAACCATGGAACCAATGAACAAGGGAATCAGAGAACGAGGGAAGTAGAGAACCAGGGAAGCAACGAACTAGAGAACTGTAGAACTGCAGAACCATTGAAATAGAGAACCGTGGCACCTTAGAACTAGAGAATCAGGGAACCAAAGAATGGTGGAACTGGGGTTTCAGGGCACTAGAGAATTTTGTAGCTAGAGTACAGTTGTCTTGTTCCCTGGTTCCCTGGGTCTGAAATTCTACAGTTTTCTGGTTCCCCTGGTTTTCTAGTTGTTTGGTTCCATGGTTTGGTTCTCTAGTTCCTTGGTTTGGTTTTGTAGATGTTTAGTTCCATGGTTTGGTTCCCTAGTTCTTTTGTTCCATGGTTTGGCTATCTAGTTCTACAGTTCTCTAATTCCCTGCTTTTGTAGCTAAAAAGTTCTCTAACGCCCAGAATCCGTAGTTCTATGGTTCCACCATTCTCTGGTTCCCTGGTTCTCCGGTTCTCTTCTAAGGTTCCATGGTTTTCTAGTTCCGTGGTTCTGTAGTTCTACAGTTCTCTTGTTCCCTGGTTGACTGTGTCTGTAGTTCAACAGTTCTCTAGTTCCCCTGGCTCTCTAGTTCTTTGGTTGTATTGTTCTCTGGTTTCTTGTTTCTGTAGTTCTACGGTTCTCTACTTCCCTGGTTCTCTAGTTCTCTGCTTCCATGGTTTCTCTGGTTCTCCAGAGTTCTAATTCCCTGCTTCTGTAGTTTCAAAGTTCTCTAGTTCACTGAATCCCTAGTTCTATGGTTCCACCACTCTCTAGTTCCCTGGTTCCCTGCTTCTATAGTTACACAGTTCTCTAGTTCCCCTTGTTCTCTGGTTCCCTGTTTCTGTAGTTCTAGTTCCCTGGTTCTCTGGTTCTGTAGTTCTACAGCTCCCTAATTCGTTGCTTCCCTGGTTCTCTAGTTCCCTCGTTCTCTCATTCCCTGGTTCTCCACTACATTGGTTCCGTGGTTCCATGTTTTTCTAGTTTCTATGTTCTCTAGTTTCCTTGTTCTCTAGTTCTTTGGTGCCTTGATTCTCTGGTTCCCTGGGTCTGTAGTTCTACAGTTCTCTAGTTCTTTGGTTCCATGGTTTGGTTCTCTAGTTCTACAGTTCTCTAATTCACTGCTTCTGTAGTTTCAAAGTTCTCTAGTTCCCTGAATCCCTAGTTCTATGGTTCCACCATTCTCTGGTTCAGTGGTTCTCTGGTTCCCTGATTCTCTAGTTCTAAGGTTCCATGGTTTAAAACTCTGATCTCTCTCTCTCTATCACTCATGCCCCCCCCCCCCTCTCTCTATCTCTCTCTTTCTCTCTCTCTCGTTCTCGCTCTTTCTTATTCAATATCCTTCTCTGCAGGAAGATGTATGACTGGAGAAACCAATAGCAATAAACGTAGTGTCGGTCCCGTGCGGTACTCAGTCTGTCCATTGAGAGCAGATGTGCAGGCTCAGCGAAAGTTGCATCACTGGTATGCTGATCCCCCTTGCCTCCTTTTGCTGTACTTAGTTGCCACTACCAAAAAACTAGTGAGGGAGTTAATACATGTGTTATACTCACAGACTCTTTCTTTCCCATAGACCTGGCGTGCTCTGAGAGTCTGGCAAAGACTGGGACGGTGGAGAAGGTGAGGATGGAGGAGGCCAAATACAACAACAAGAGCCTCCTCACCCTCACCCAAGTTATATCCAGGCTGTCCGGGGGCAAGCCCAGGTAACGTTTCTGCTATTCTGCAGTCTCCATTCCAATCCCTCCTTGTCTGTCTCAGTCTTCACATCCCCTACCCGGACTCTAAGCTAACGCACATCCTGAAGCAGTCCCTGGGTGGAAACGCCAGGACAGCAATTATATGCACAGTAACACCCGCAGATTTAAGCGAGACTGAGCTGACCCTCAAGGTATGTGGCCACTGTAGCTATACAGTGAAACAACATCAAAAGAGTCGCTGCAAAGGCCCTTGCCTATAATTTTTTTTCAAATCTCTGTGTAGTTACCAGTTCCAAATATAAATAATGTCTTCTTTCCTCCCCCCCTTCAGTTTGCTACATCAGTAAAGAGGGTCAGAACAGACCAATAGTTAACGAAGTAATAAGTGAGGAACCACTCAGGAAAACTTCAGGACCAACTGAGTAACGTAAGTAAGCATGAAATGTGTATTCCTTTTCAATTATGCTATTGTCAAGTGTACTATTATTGTTTGCCTTTGAAAATGTAAAATTGACACAAACACACTACTCTGAGCGAGGTACGAGTGTGCATGCTCTTTTCCGGCCTGGTGATAGCAATGCGCTTTAGCTACCATGGGATTGCAGAAACACACAGCAACTGAATATTCTGAATATTCACTTTGTGACTTCACTTAATGCACAACCGTACAAGGGGGTAACCAAATATATGTAGTTAGATTGGAATTCTGGTACACTAACGATCACCACAGAAATTATACTTGGTTGGATAAATGTAATGGATATAGACAAAAGCTCACAACCCTTTACCACCCCAGAGTGAGAGAAAGATGGAGGAGAAGGAAAGAGTATTGGAGGAGAGGGAGAGAGAGGTTGGATAAATGTAATGGACATTGACAAAAGCTCACCACCCTTAACCACCCCAGAGTGAGAGAGAGAAGGAAAGAGTATTGGAGGAGAGGGAGAGAGAGGTTGGATAAATGTGTAGAGACTCAGATCAAAGTCAATGCCGTAGAATCATAGATACACACACACACACTGCTTCTATCTGAATTGCACACGCTTATATCCTAACGAGTCAGTACGTCTGGAATATTCTAGAATGTTCTATCACGTGGCAAAGGTCGAGGGTTCGCCACATCAGTCCCCCCCAGTGAGCTAGCGAACGAAGCTCATGAGTCGTTGTGGGAAGTGCACTCGTCTTCCGGAGCGAGTGACCCGGATAGGTTCTGCTGGTATTGATGGGGTGGGTGAGGAATGTGGGGAGCTGTGTTCTGGTTCTTCTGGACTGATCTCCAGATAGGCTGGCTTGAGGCGATCGAGTGAGACCGTGTCCTTTCGGCCCCCAAAGTCCAGAGTGAAGAATTTATCGGTTCGCTCGAGGACTTTGTAGGGACCGCCATAGGGGGATTCCAGAGGGCGATGAACTCTGTCATTACAGACGAACACATGGGTACATCGGGAAAGGTCCTTGTGGATGTGGAATTTGCGTGGTGTATGAGAACGAACTGGGGCAGCTTTCAGCCGACGCATAGTATCTCTCAGCTGTAGAAGGAAGGATGTAGGATCACTGACCTCCTCCGCTGTTCCCTTCTCAAAAAACTCCCCTGGAAGACGGAGTGTCGTGCTATAGAGTAGCTCCGCCATGCTAGCCTGCAAGTCACCCTTGACTGCAGTGCGGATACTGAGAAAAACGAGTGGCAATGTCTCCGTCCAGCAAGTAGCCATAGTTCTCGCCCTGAGGGAGGCTTTCAGTTGGCGGTGAAACCTTTCAACCATACCATTTGCGATAGGGTGGTAGGCTGTCGTGCGCAGGTGCTTGCATCCCAAAAGTTGTGTCACGAGTCGCCAGAGTTGACTCAAACTGTCGTCCTCTATCAGTGGTGACGGTGGAGGGCACACCGAAACGCGCAACCCACCCACTAATGAAGGTACGTGCCACGGACTCCACGGTAATATCGATCATCGGAAAAGCCTCGGGCCAGCGGGAGAACCGGTCGATGCAGGTGAGCAGATAGGAGAATCCCCTGAGGGAGGCAGTGGGCCGACAATGTCGAGATGAATCTGTTGAAAGCGGGCGTCCGGAACCGGAAAGGTTGATAGGGGGGTGAGCGTGTGACGGTGTATCTTCGCACGTTGGCAGGGAATGCAGCATCTAGTCCAGGCCTTGATGTCGGTGTTCAAACGTAACGGTCTGCGATCAGCTGTGTGGTGGCCTTGACCCCCGGATGAGACAGAGAGTGTAGAGAATCAAAAACAGTACGTCGAAATGCGGCTGGAACGAAAGGTCGCGGGGTACCTGTGCTCGTATTGCAAACGAGAGATGCAGAGGAGGACAAGTGGGGGACCGTGGTGAGTTGCAGAGAGGAAGAGGAAGAAGACTGGAGCGCCCGCAGCTCTGGGTCAGCGGCTTGTGCTCTAGCCATCGCCTCAAAGTCAACAGATGGTGCTTCAGACTCTTGTATGGCGTTGACGGATGCTCGAGAGAGGGCGTCTGCGACTGCATTGGCCTTCCCGCTGACGTGCCTGATGTCTGTGGTGAATTGGGCGATGAGGTCCAGATGTCGGGTCTGCCTCGGGGTGTACTTGTTTGAGTGAAAAGCAAGGGCATATGACAAGGGCTTGTGATCACTCAGAACAAAGAACTCACGTCCTTCGACGAAGTATTGGAAGTGTTTGATGGCGAGATAGAAGGCCAGAAGCTCGCGATCGAACGTGCTGTACCGTGTTTCTGGGGGTGCAGCTTCCTAGAGAAGTAAGCGATGGGGCGCCATTCGTCCTTGATGTATTGTTGCAGAACTGCCCCAACGGCAAACTCTGATGCATCCGTCATGATGCACGTATGAGCGTGTGGCTTGGGGTGTACTAGGAGAGTAGTGTCAGCCAGTGCCTGTTTGGCCGCGTGAAAGGCAGTGGTGGCTTATTCGTCCCATGACAGCTGATGTGAGCGGTGCTTTGGAGAACTGAGGAGCCGATTCAGCGGTTGTAAGATCCTAGCACAGTTGGGAATGAAGCGATGGTAGAAGTTTACCATACCGAGGAATTCACGCAGCCCCCGGAGTGTTGACGGTTGTGGAAAATTCCGAACAGCGCTGACCTTGCCGTCCAATGGCCTGATTCCGTGAGCGTGACACGGTTCGAGGATACTTGGCATTGGTCCTGGCGTAAAACTGTCTCAGGTGGGCGTGGTGTTCCTCGGTAGAAGCGCTGGCGATAAGCAGGTCGTCCAGGTAGGCGTAGGCGAAGGGGAGGCCACGCAGCACCTGGTCGATAAAACGCTGGAACGTCTGGGCCGCATTGCGAAGACCGAACGGCATGCGCAGAAACTCAAAGAGGCCAAATGGCGTGGTAACGGCAGTCTTCGGCACGTCGGAAGGCTCGACAGGAATTTGATGGTATGCTCGTACCAGATCGATCTTGGAGAACACCCGAGCACCATGGAGCGACACAGCGAAATCCTGAATATGTGGGATAGGGTAGCGGTCAGGGACAGTAATCCGGTTGAGTGCTCGATAGTCCCCACACGGACGCCAGTCGCCAATTGTCTTCTTAGGCACCATATAGAGTGGGGATGCCCAGTTACTCGACGAGGGTCTAATGATACCCAGCTCGAGCATGTGGTGAAATTCCTGACGGGCAATCTTGAGCCTCTCCGGTGCGAGTCGACGTGTCCGTCCTGTGACTGGGGGTCCTGTGGTGGTTATATGGTGGGTGACGGTATGTTTGATGGATTTGGCCATGTTGCTGGGCTGTGGTACCACAGGAAACTCGGCCAAGATGGCTTCAAACGTGTCAGCTGGCTTCAGCGGCAGCAGTGATGGACTGAGGGACATTTCCTGCGATACGATTCCCTGTACAGCTAAGCTGGTAGTGCTGTCAGACAGCTTGCTGTTCTTGAGATCCACCAGTAATCCGAAATGCCATAGGAAGTCTGCTCCCAGGATAGGAGTCGATGTTTCCGCCAGCATGAAAACCCATCTGAAGGTGCGTCGCAGCCCGAGGTTGAGGGTGAGGGAGCGTGTGCCAAACGTAGGGATTGGTGTGTTGTTGACGGCCTGGAGTGTAAGGTCCGAACAAGGGTGCAGACGTTCCTTGGGCGACGGGGGGAGGACGCTCACGTGAGCCCCCGTGTCGACGAGGAACTTTAGGTCTGTGAAATGGTCTGTAACGAAGAATGGGCGACTAGGTGTGGGGCCAGTAGCGTTCGTCGACACTAACGACTGGCCATGTCGTTTCCCGACCTGGCACAAGGTGGTGTGCAGTTGCGGGCGCGATCACCAAAGCGGCGATGGTATCAACAGAGAGTAATTGACGGGGGGCGAGGTGAAGGTGGAGATCGGAAACGAACTTGCTGACGTCCTGGCGAGGGTGAACGCGGTCGTGGTGAGCGAGGCCGTGTTGCGAGACGAGTTCTTTCAGTTCCTTAATCTCTGTGCGGAGAAATTCCACTTCTGGAGTAGGCGGGTTTATAGCTGACACGTCGGGGCGGAGCGGCGATGTCTATCGGCCAGCTCAGCTATTTCCTCTAGGTTCTTCCCGGCGATGGACGGGGCGAGTACCAGTCGGACGTTGGCAGGTAGTCGCTGAAGGAAAAGTTCGCGCAGGAGTGGACCTTCTGCTGCTGTCGAGCTCTCTCCTAGTAGCTGTCGCATCCGCTGGAGTAGTTGCGTGGGCTTATTGTCGCCGAGCTCTAGAGAGTGAACGAGTCGGTGCAAGCGTTGCTGCTCAGGGAGACAGGTCCGCTGGATTAGTTGCCGCTTGAGTGTGTCGTACGGGTTGTCGGGGACGCGGAGAATAAGATCGCGTACCTCGGTGGCGAACTCGGGCGAGAGCGAGGCAACAACGTAGTCGTATTTGGTCTTTTGAGGTGATGCCGCGAGTGCCGAACTGAACCTCTACTTGCGCAAACCAAACGTCTGGGTCAGCGGGCCAAAAGGGGGGTAACTTCACTTGTACCGCAGCCGTGATTGCTCCCGCTGCACTCGCCGCCGCGTCGAGGTGCGGTGTCCCAGGTCCTTCCTCGCGGGCCATAGGTCACGTCGTGGTCACCAATGTAGAGACTCAGATCAAAGTCAATGCCGTAGAATCATAGATACACACACACACACACTGCTTCTATCTGAATTGCACACGCTTATATCCTAACGAGTCAGTACGTCTGGAATATTCTAGAATGTTCTATCACGTGGCAAAGGTCGAGGGTTCGCCACAAATGTAATGGAAGCTCACCACCCTTTACCACCCCAGAGTGAGAGAAAGATGGAGGAGAAGGAAGGAGTATTGGAGGAGAAGGAGAGAGAGGTTGGATAAATGTAATGGACATTGACAAAAGCTCACCACCCTTAACCACCCCAGAGTGAGAGAGAGAAGGAAAGAGTATTGGAGGAGAGGGAGAGAGAGGTTGGATAAATGTAATGGATATTGACAAAAGCTCACCACCCTTTACCACCCCAGAGTGAGAGAAAGATGGAGGAGAAGGAAGGAGTATTGGAGGAGAAGGAGAGAAAGATGGAGGAGAAGGAAAGAGTATTGGAGGAGAGGGAGGGTCCGCCCACTTATAGAGAGGTATATGCTCCTGCTTTGTGAGACACACTTGTTAGAGGTATGCAATTCTCCCCAGGGAGAAGGATGGAGGTTATAAATGGTATGTCAGAGGGGACACCATCTTCCCCGCCAATTTTGCTGGCGCTGGCTACAAGTTTGGTTAGCACACCATTGTTTCTGAGTAATTCTTACAATGAACTCTGATGTACTGGTAGACCATGTGTTTGACGAAACGTCTAAATCGAAAGACCTGTATGACAACGTAATACAACACGTCGTGATATCTGCCATGGAGGGCATCAACGGTAAGACTTTTCCTCCAGTTTCCATGATGAGGTCATTGGTGAAGTGCTGGATTCTAACTGTCCTTCCTCCTCCTCTCTGTTCTTAGGAACTGTGTTTGCGTACGGGCAAACATCCAGTGGGAAGACCCACACCATGACGGGGAGTGGACCTGAAACAGGGGTCATTCCTCTGGCCATGGAAGACATCTTCAAGTACATTAGTGATGTAAGCACCACAAACATTGCAGAGCTTGGCACTCTCTTTATTTCGTACACATGCGCAACAACTAACGCGCGCCGGTCTTGGCGGAGAATTCGTTTGATACATTTCGCGGGAAAGAGAGTAGGAGCTGAGCGAGATGAATGGATGTTGCTGTAAGGGTCCGCCCGCTCATAGACAGGTAATCCTGCTTTGGGAGACACCATCTGAAGTATTGTTACTCTCCCCAGGGAGGATGGAGGGAAGAAATGGTATGTTAGAGGGGACACGTTAGCATACCATTGTTTCTGAGTAATTCTTGCAATGAACTATGATGCACTGGTAGACCATGTGTTTGACGAAACCATCTAAATCGAAAGACCTGTATGACAACGTAATACAACACGTCGTGATATCTGCCATGGAGGGCATCAACGGTAGGACTTTCCCTCCAGTTTCTGTGATGAAGTCATTGGTGAAGTGCTGGGTTCTAACTGTGTTTCCTCCTCCTCTCTGTTCTTAGGAACTGTTTTTGCGTACGGGCAGACATCCAGTGGGAAGACACACACAATGTGAGGGAGTGGACCTGAACCAGGCGTTATTCCTCTAGCGATGGAAGAAATCTTCCAATATATTAGAGAGGCACTCTAACTTTTCTCTCTTCTCTCCTTTCTCTTATTGCACTCTCCCTCTCTGTGTGAAGCATAAGGAGTTAGAGTTCACAACCACCGTCTCCTACTTCGAGATGTAACTTTGTGGTGTCACCCAATCCATAACGTATTATTCTCACAGGGGATCTGTGACCTCCTGGGTCCTGCTGGAAGTAACATCAAGATAAGAGAGGACAAAGACGTAAGAGTATATTCAGAACAGATGTCTATTGTACGTGCATAATGGTGATAACATTACGTACGTACATAACCTATTGTCAACATGTATGGCCTCCTTTCAGTTTTCCAGCTGGCATAGTATGTGCATGAATGAATGTTTCTAACTTCAATGCCACCACCCCAACAGGACAATTAAATTTTTTGCCCAATAATCCCAAGTATAGAAAGTACTTACTACTGAGCGAGGTGGAGCCTCTTCCTACATTCTAGCCACATGGTTAGTCTCTTTGCTTGTATACTGCTGCTGCAGAACAATGTGAGGTTACTGGGCGTGGAATGTGTGAGAGTGGCAGATGCCAATGAGGTAATCAGAGTCATCAATGCCAGGAACAGTGAGTTAATGCTTTAAAACTCTGATCTCTCTCTATCATTGATTCTCTCTCTCATGCCCCCCTATCTCTCTCTCTCTCTTTCATTATTCAATATCCTTCTCTGCAGTAGGACGTATGACTGGAGAAACAGACATCAATACACGTAGTAGTCGGTCTCATGCGGTACTCAGATGTTCAGGCTCAGCGAAAGTTGCATCACTGGTATGCTGATCCCCTTGCCTCCTTTTGCTATATTTACCAAAAAAATCAACTAGCGAGGGAGTTAATATATGTGTTATTAAGAAACCCACAGACTCTTTCTTTCCTACTGTCATCAGAGCATAGTAGACCTGGCATGCTCTGAGAGCCTGGGTAAGACTGGGACAGTGGAGAAGGTGAGGATGGAGGAGGCCAGATACAATAACAAGAGCTTCCTCACACCCTCACCCTCACCCAAGTGATTTCCAGGCTCTCCGGGGGCAAGCTCAGGTAACGTTTCTGCTATTCTACAGTCTCCATTCAAATCTCCCCCTTCTCTGCTTCACATCTCACACCAGGACTCGAAGCTGACACACATCCTGAAGCAGTCCCTGGGTGGAAACGCCAGGACCACAACTATCGGCACAGTTACACCAGCAGATATAAGCGAGACTGAGCTGATTCTCAAAGTATGTGGCCACTGTAGTTATACACATCAAAAAGGTCGCTGCAGAGGCCCCTGCCTAAAATTTTCCAAATCTCTGTTGAATTTTAACATGTATTTACCTGTTCCAAATGTAAATAATGTCTTCTTTCCCCTTCCCCCCCCCCCCCCTCAGTTTGCTTCATCAGGGAAGAGGGTTAGAAACAGGCCTGTAGTAAACACACTAATTGAAAGTGAGGAAACACTCAGGAATAAAGTGAAAGAACTTCAGGACCACCTAAGTAACCATAAGTAAGCATGAAACTAGAATTGTGTATGTAAATTTATTCCTTTTCAATTATGCTATTGTCTGGTGTACTATTATTGTTGTGCCTTTGAAAATGCATAAATACATTGAACAGTAAAATTGACACAAAAATACTACTCTGGGCGAGGTACCTGCCTGGTGATAGCAATGCGGTTTGGCAACCATGGATTTGCAGAAACAATGCTGTCACAGCAACTGAATATACGTGAGGTAATCAAATATCTGTAGTTAGGAACTCTGTTACACTAACTATCACCACAGAAATACATATAAACAGCTTGAGTATGTGCCCGTCTACAAAGTCCCTTCGTGGCCCACTGCTTCGTTAGAAAGGGGCTGTTTCCACAAGACAACGCTTCGTGAACACTGCAGATATTTCCAAAACAGTAATTCTGTAGCCTGCTAACATGTATATAAAGTAGCCGTACCTCTAATTGATGGGCTGGGCCTATTACTCTGCGTTTACCCGTAGTAGCTCGCGGAGAGTCTGACACGGACTAGCTACAGTAGTAGATAGCATGAGGGAGTCGATACACGCCCTTCGTTGTGACTTCTTGTGCCTCCGAGGTACACAGAGCAAACGGATCAGGTCGAGGTAAGCTAGTGCTAATTAACATATTGGCTTGTTCACTTGGTTTTCACGCCATAACTTCTAAACGCAGCAGTTATACCATTTTTAAAATCAAGCCAGTGTAGCACTGAACCATTGGTGTCGCTATTTTACCTGTTTGTTGCGCGTGGTGGCAGAAAACGTGATAACAGACGGACAGACGGACAAACCAAGTACCGTAACCCTCGCTGCGCATGCGTGCCAAGGGTTAATAATGCACGAGCGATCTCGGTATCAGTGTCGCGGGGCCAGAGAAAGACAGACAGCTCTGGGGACAGAAAAAGCTGCACCAGGCGAGCTGATTGCATTGACTCATGGCCCCTAAGAACCAGCTAGGCAATAGTAATTGCCTGAAGGTTCACCAGCTGATAGAGTTATGTGCATGATTGGTTGTCAAAGCAGCCAGGTTGTCTAGTGGTGTAAGGCCATTTCAGTTCACCAGTTGATATAGCCATGTGCATTACTGGATGTCAAAGCCACCACCTACCAGAGAACTCTTTAGCAGACAAAGACCAGCGCCCTACGTCAATTATGTCACTTCCGTCACTTCGTGTGGGCAAAGGAGCTTTTTTGCTACACTTTTGCAAAGCTTCTTCCACTCTGCTCCCGGTTTATGCTGTTTGCTGGAAACTAGAGAACTGTAGAACTACAGAAGTAGGGAACCAGGGAACAAGAGAGTGGTGGAAGCATAGGACTAGATATTCAGGGAACGGGAGAACTTTGGAACTGAAGAACCAGGGAATTAGAACTCTATAACAAGAATTAGAGAACTGTATAACTAGAAACCAGATAATCATGGACGAAAATAAGTAGAGACCCAGGGAACTAGAGAACTGTAGAACTACAGAACCACGGAACTGGAGAACCATGGAACCTTAGAACTAGAGAACCAGGGAACCACAGAACCAGGGAACAAGAGAATGGTGGCACCATAGAACTAGGGATTCAGGGAACCTGAGAACTTTGGAACTGAATTAGAAAACTAAACAACAAGAGAACCGGGGGAACGAGAGAACTGTAGAACTACAGACCAAGGGAACAAAGGAACAAGACAACTTTAAAACTACAGAAACACGGAAATAGAGAACCGTGGAACCTTACAACTAGAGAATCAGGGAACCGGAGAACCACAGAAACAGGGAAACAGAGAATGGTAGAGAATTGTGGAACCATAGAACTAGGGATTCAGAGAACTGTAGAACTTTGGAAAAGTAGAGAACCATAGAACCAATAAACTAGAGAACCAGGGGAACTAGATAACTGTACAACTACAGACCAAGGGAATCAGGGAACAAGAGAACTGTAGAACTACAGAACCATTGAAATAGAGAACCATGGAACCTTAGAACTAGAGAATCAGAGAACCACGGAACCAGGGAACCAGAGAGTGGTGGAACCATAGAACTAGGGAATCAGTGAACTAGCGAACTTTGGAACTACAGAAGCAGGGAATTATAACTAGAGAACAAGAGAACCATGGAAGCAGAGAACTAGAGAACCATGGAGATAGAGAACCGTACAACTACATAAACAAGGAATCAGAGAACCATGGAACCAAAGAACTAGAGAATTAGAGAACCGTTGAACTACAGACCGAGGGAACAAAGGAACAAGACAACTGTAAAGCTACAGAACCACAGAAATGAAAACAGTGGAACCTTAGAACTAGAGATTCAGGGAACCAGAGAATGGTGGAACCACAGAACTAGGGATTCAGAGAACTTTGGAACTAAAGAACTGGAAGCAATAAACTAGAGAACCAGGGTAACTAGAGAACTGTAGAACTACAGACCGAGGGAACCACGGAACAAGAACTGTAGAACTACAGAACCACTGAAATAGAGAACCATGGAACCTTAGAACTAGAGAATCAGGGAACCAGAGAACCACGGAACCAGGGAACCAGAGAGTGGTGGAACCATAAAACTAGGGATTCAGTGAACTAGAGAAGTTTGGAACGACATAAGCAAATTAGAACTCTAGAGAACCAGAGAACCATGGAAGCAAAGAACTAGAGAACCAGGGAAATAGACAACCGTAGAACTAAGAAACAAGGAACCACAGAACCAAAGAACTAGAGAACCAGGGGAACTAGAGAACTGTTGAACTACAGACCCAGTCAACCAGGGAACAAGATAACTGTAGAACTACAGAACCACGGAACTAGAAAACCATGGAACCTTAGAACTAGAGAACAAGGGAACCAGGGAACCGGAGAATGGTGGAACCATAGAACTAGATTGAGAACATTGGAACTACAAAAGCAGAGAATTAGAGAACTGTAGAACTAGATAGCCAAACCATGGAACAAAAGAACTAGAGAAGCAAACCATGGAACCAAACATAGAAAACCAAACCAAGGAACTGGAGAACCAAACAACTAGAAAAGCAGGGGAACCAGAGAACTGTAGAATTTCAGTCCCAGGGAAAAAGGGAACAAGAGAGCTGTAGAACTACAGAACCACGGAACTAGAGAAGCTGGAACCTTAGAACTAGAACTAGAGAATCAGGGAACCAGAGAACTGCGCAACCAGGGAACCAGAGAATAGTGGAACCATAAAACTATGGATTCAGTTAACTAGAGAACTTTGGAACTACAGAAGCAGGGAATTAGAACTCTATAGAACCATGGAAGCAAAGAACTAGAGAACCAGGGAAATAGAGAACCGTAGAACTACAGAAACAAAGAACCATAAAACCATAGAACCAAAGAACTAGAGAAAACCAGGGGAACTAGGGAACAAAAGAACTGTAGAACTACAGAACAACAGAACTAAAGAACCGTGGAACCTAAGAACTAGAGAACAAGGGAACCAGAGAATGATGGAACCATGGAACTGGGGGTTCAGGGGCAGGGCACTAGAGAACTTTGGAACTAAAGAACTAGAGAACCGTCCAATAGAGAACATGGGGAACTAGAGAACTGTAGAATTACACACCAAGGGAACAAGAGAACAGTAGAACTGTAGAACTACAGAACCACGGAACTGGAGAACCATGGAACCTTATAAGTAGAGATCAAGGGAACCAGAGAATCAGAGAACCAGGGAATCAGAGAATGGTGGAACGATAGAACAGGGGATTCAGGGCACTAGAGAACTTTGGAACTATAGAAGCCGGGAATTAGAGAACTGTAGAACTAGAGAACCAAACCATGGAACCAAAGAACTAGAGAACCAGGGAACTAGAAAACTGCAGAAGTACAGAACTAGGGACCCAGTGAACAAGGACTACAGAACCACCGATAAAGAGAACCTGACATTCTCCAACTTCATCATCACCATCACACGTATTACTTCTCGTTCAACCAGCCATTATTATAGTCACAATAATATTATTAGTTGAAAGTTGAGAAGATTCAAGAAGTATTTCGTATTTGAGAGAACAAGCGGCATGGTGGGCGTGAATATCTTTCTAACGCAGCAGCGGCGGATCCACTACCGGCTAAGGTGAGCTTGCGCCTTACCAGTAACGTCGCAAAACGTGGATAGTATAACACGATTTTTCATGTTCCGTATCTGCTGCGCATGCGTGTGTTGTGCTGAACGGCTACCGCCGCGCCGTTGAGCTCTGAGAACAAGATCCCAACCCACTTATCCACGTTTGGTGGACGAGGCTAGTCCGTTGTCCGGAATTCTGAAGTTGATTGCGTCTACGATCAGCGATAGCGGTTGGTACATCGACTATTGTCCGTTATATGGTAGATGTCCACTATTGGGAGAAGCACGAACAGGTAGCTGTGTTCAGAAGGTTTTGGATATTCATAAACCACACTGGATAGCCACGTTTCTGCACATGTGTGTCGAAAAGGCGTCTCAATCTAGCTCTACGGAGAAGCGGCGGACATGGCTAGTATGTTTTCATGTCTTCGTTGGTTGCATGTTTTGTAGCTTTATTTGGAACGATCTACGTCCACAGATCTTGGAGGAGACCCAAATAGTCCCAACAATGGAAGACCAACAACAACAACAGCTGCACCAGTACGCTCCTCAGGCTGAGAATACTTTTTTCATAGATAAAGAATTGCCAATACTACTGTTCGATATATTATACATAGAGCTGGAAGAGCTACCACCAGTAAGTTGCAACGAATCCAGCAGAATAGCTGTGAACGGATACTTGAATGAAACATTCTGCAGGATTAGCATTTGGAAATGTTGATTGCTGATAAAAGTAGCATTCGTATAAGTAGCTGTCACAAACAAGGTTTTTTTGATAGTAGATTTCAAGCAGGCAAAACAGGGACATACCTACAGCATACTACAAACAATCTCCAGAAAACATTTACAACTGAGGGTGTAGTTTACAAAATGTGAGATCAGTTTGGTCAAACTTCACTTTTGAAAGTGCGGAAATATTACTAAAAATTTTTAAGTAGCCATGGCAATATTTCCTGCAAAATCAGAGGGTGGTGCAGAAGTTTCCTTTTGACAATATTTCCTGCACTTGGCCTATACATATTATTAATATAATATATGGGGACTTATTGTGTTTGGAGCATGTTTAGAATCATTGCACAATAAATGTAGTGTGCTTCTACCAATTATCTAAGACAATGCCCAGTGTGCATACTTATTCCTTCCACTTTCCACTACTTGTATAGGCCACCAGCCCTATTTGACATAATAATGATACAAGTATAGCAATGTTGTCTTGAACTATCGAACAAGCTCATAAGCAGCACTCCATTACAAACATACAGTTACTGAACTGCATTCAGCAACATAGATTGCAAGCCTAAAACACAACTATGTCAGTGTGAAGGACTGCATGGGAACACAGACTCACTAGCTGTATAGGTACTAATAGGAACAGTTGGACGCAGCCCTTCACCAATATCCACTAGATAGAGTAGCTGGCTCACTCCTGTGTTGTAATTCCTCACATTGAGCACCTTTTACCACTGTTCTCTACCTCCCACTATTGTACCTCACTCAAAGGGCCACCATATGCCATGCCCACAGCTGTTAATAGCATCTTCCTCTTCGTTACTACAACCACCTATTACTCCCTGACATCCACCCCCCACTCTTCCACCTGTCTTTCCTCCTCACCATTGGTATAAAAGAGTCAGCTACTCAGCCCTCAGGAGGCTGTGTGTAAAATAATCATTTCGCTACCTACCAACCCCGAGACCTCTCTTCGCCGCTACGGCCGCGCTCTACCACAGTCAGCCATTGGAAATTCCCATAAGCTAGTTGCAGGGCTGTGCACATAGAGACTGGAACATTTAGAACTCAGCCATACTACATGCTTCCTAAATGTCCAAAAATGCAAGTTCCAGTCTGTTTGTGCACATCACTGTAAGGGACATGAACAATGGAGTAGTGGCTACAAAGCTATCACTGCTGACATTGTGATAGATAATATTGTTCGTTGCTAAGTTGGACCCCACCAATATTTATCTACTGACTATGCTCCCTGTGATGCAATACTCACTGAGTATTGCATCACAGGGAGAGTAATGGAGCTTAGGCTAGAGAAGGTAGGGGACTATATAACTCACTTTCTCTATTGTCTTTTATTACCTCCCCCCCATTTTCTCTTGCCCTTTCTCCTCCTCCTTTCCCATTCTCCCACTTTTCACCCCCCCTCCTACACATACACACACCTCCCCCTTTTTTACTCCCCCTCCCCTACAGAACCTTGAGCTGGACTACTACAATTACGACGACTACTTCAACTACTTACAGTATGACTATTTACAATGACTACGTAACTTAACATGATTCGATGATTCTATCATACATGCCAACCGTCCCACATTTCACGGCCTACAAAAATCAGAGGCGTCCTGCTCTCCCACAGAAGAGCCTTATTGTCCCACTTAATCATTCCACGTGGCGTACTGTGCATGTGCTATGTAAGTGTTTGTACTTTCACCTCTTCAACGCGGCCAAAGGGTATGGAAAGTGACAATGCTACAGGCTACGCATCTTCTAGCTCTTCTACCCCTACTGGCACTCCATGCTATGACAATGCGAGTCTGGTTACAGCTGAAGTTCTCATCAGGACTGCTACTCAGAGTGAAAATGTACAGTAATTGTAATTTTTTCCTGCAATATTTTAATGCTGTCCTGCAAAATGTACTAGCTGTCCAGCATTATATTTCATGCGGGTTGGCAAGTAGAACACTAATGAAAATGACGTTCGCTTTCAGAATCTTTCCGAGGCAGCTTATTCACCAGTGACATTAAGTCAGCGGAGTTGCATGCCCTATTCCCAAACCTGGGATACGAGACTACAGGGTGGGCGTCTATCTGCGCATACACAATTTCGTTTGCAGTCTCACGCCCCCAGCTTCAATGGTTCAACACCCATGTCTATGTATAGCTATTGCAGTGCAGCACAACACTAAGGTTCATACACAGTGGCCACGATATCCAGAGAGTATCCAGAGAAGGTTAGCGCAATGTGCATATTTTTCTTCTTTACTACTTTTAACTTACCCAGTCCAGTTGTTATTATAAATCCCTGTTTTTCACTCTTCGCTTACTTTTTTACCTATCCATGGTTGTGCTCAACACCCCTCTACACACTGACAAAGAACTAACCATGTGATGACTTTTAATAGCAGAATTACATGCAAATGCTGGCCAATTGTCTGTTGGTAAAGAGGCACATTGGAAACTGCCACCGCTTATAAAGCTTTAGGATGCAAGCTGTGCCGACAAAGAACATCGTCTGACCCTTAACGAAGTTAGTTCTATTGCACAATGGCTACGCAGCACCCTGCCGGCGAGGCGGAGCTAATTGTAAGCAGCGGACATACTGTTGTAGCCGTTTCTCAAGCAGAAAACGCGTACGTTTCAACACAATGCAACCGTGTACTTTCAACGGCAGGACGTTTTGTCTGTCAATCGTCACTGAAAAACACGAGCCTCCCTGTCATGAGGACTGTCGACGGCTGGGTTTTGTCTCTGTCTACCTCTTGGAACAGAAGCAGTATCGTGGCAGGACGTGAACTGAACCCCCCCCCCGGGCCCGGCCCAATAATAGTTCAAGCAAGTAATATCAGCACATGCGCATAACAACGACTGACAGTGCGTCATATATAAATTTATGTCGTCATGCGTGGGTGGATCAAAAGCGCAGCCATGCACTATATCGGGGCGAAATACCAACAGCAAGTGCTATATCAACTTCCTATGAGTGTTATATCAACTTCCTGTGATACGCAAGGGATGGCGCGAAGAGTGCTCGAGTGAGGGAGAACAGGAGAAGGCCAGCGACAGCGAAGGGACTAGCGCGAGCACGGATGAAATACAGCGGAGATCGGGGCGAAAATATATACGCGCAGCGCGGGCTATATCAACTTCCTCATGAGTGTTATATCAACTTCCTGTGAGACCCAAGGGATGGTGCGAAGACCTCTCGAATGAGGGAGAAGAACAGGAGAAGGCCAGCGACGGCGAAGGGACTAGCGCAAGCACGGATGAACGTGAAGTCAGCTCAGAGACGCTCCGGGTCATGACCTGCCAGCAATACGGCAGAGAAACAGAAAAAACCGGTCGGAAAACTGGTTTAGCTCCAGACAAACAAGACTTTTTGCGCCATTATCCGTAGCAACGCCGGTCAGGACGACATAAATTAGTTATGTCATGTCCGTTCCGGCAACGTACCTCACGGACATGACACATATATAGAAAATTAGCACTCATTCTGTTATTCACTCTCCAAAATTGAAATGCCACCATCATAATGTAATACAAACTTCCATATTCCATAATAGGCAGCTGCATCTCGTAATGGTTAGTTCCTGTATAGTCCCGGACAGATACCTTGACAGTCCAATATATAATCAGCATCATAAAACACACGATATGATGTTTAACGGGACATCAACAGTGTGGGGTGCCTAAGACATAAAAATAATATAAGTCAGGGAGATCCCAGTTTAGTTCACAATTTCGGGACAAACCCCTTGGGCCAAATGAACATCGTGCTCAGG